TGCAAAAATTATATATGTATATCTAAAAAACCTGATTTTCTCACCATATTCTTCAATTCGATAAATTCGGTATTCATTAGCGTAGAAAACGACGAACTATTTAAATGCCTTTGGATAACTCTGAAAAAAGCATATAAAATTGTTGCTTAATCATGAAAATTAATGATCCCGGGAATACCCACAAAAAATACCGTTCTGCCGAATATGCAAAATTTAAAATAGTCAATATCACGCGTAATGTAATATAATCGCAACTACATTATCATATATTATTTTTTAAATAAAGTTCAGAGAGATCAAAGGAGATAAGAATCCAAGCAAATTTTGTTACGCGTTCCTCTATTTGTATAAATTTAAGCTTCGATCAAAACGCGAACAACTCGAAACGATGAAATCTGTTTATCAATATTGATTTGGCACGTATCGCATGAATGGTAGATCAGCTGATGTGCGACTAGCTTGTTAATATTCCTTCAGCTAAAAACTCCGCGTTGACGATAACGACGTATCGTCGCGGTGAAAAATAAAAGTCATTCATCCTTGTTTATCTCATTTTTGTCCTTGTTCATCTTTATAATTAAATGACGTGCAGGCAACGAAATTTTACGCTACGCTTTATTATATTAATTTGTGCTTAATCGTGAAAACCTGAATTGTTTCGTGTTTATCAAAGCTGTAAAAACGGAACATTACAAAAGTTATCTTTCGATTTTATATGTGAAATACTTTTCATCTCTTTTAACAGCTGTCAAATTGTACATTTTCTGCCGGAATAGGCTTCATTTCACGTGCCTTTTACGACTATTTATTGACTATCAGGGGAGAAAAAGGTTGTAGCGTTCCGTTTTTACAAGTGTCTTAAAGCCATTTCAAGTGTTATTTTATTGCAACATCTCTTTATTTACAGGAAAAATGTAGCAAACTTTTACATATCGTTTCTCGCCTATGACGTCACGATTCCAATATGGCCGCGGCGACTTTTCAGGAGCTTTAAAGGCCATATCAGACTAGCGATTGCGCTACGGTTGCCGGTTGACGATTCTATTTCAGCCAATCACAATGTAGTAGGTCCTGGTTATGGTCAATGTGATTGGTAATAGTAGAATTGTTAATCGGCAACCGCAGCCGAGCAATCGCTAGTCTGATATGGTCAGAAGTCTTAAGTCAGAGGTCGACAAAACGTTGAAATTGAGCATGGGCGCTCGCGAGTGCCCGCTTGTTGTGCACATCTCAAGAGCGTATCTAATATTTTTTGTACCTTGGAAAAATTTCGCATTTCACAAAAATAGCGTTGCATATATATGAACGATAGTGCAGTCTTAAATTACTAGTACTCGAATCTTTGTAATATCATAAAATTTTTTTATAACAGTTTAGCTAAACCGTTTAAAAATGAAATACGCAAAAATATGTTGTAATATATAGGATTCAATATGCATAAATTCTTATAAATTCAACTTATATTTAGTTAATTTTTTTATTAATCAAATAAAGAAATGTACCCTAGCTTATTTTGATTGTCTTAATAATAAGCATTCATTATAGGAAAATTTTAATTAAAATGCTTATCTCTATTTTTAAATATTGTAAGTTATCAAAATTTGTGCTTTAGCATATAATTTATTAAAAATTGTGTAATATAATTATTACATTTAAATATGTTTAACGGAAATTTAAATAAATAATAATAATAATAAATAAATAAATATATATAAAAATATATATAATATATATATAATATATATAATAAATATATATAATAAATATATATAATAAATATAAAATAAATAAATAAATAATAATAATTTAAATAAATAAATAATAAAGAAATAAAACAATAATATAAACAGTAACAATATATTAAAATATAAATTTATAATATCATAAAATTATGAATACATATATCACGTTTAACAGAAATTAAAATTATATTTTTAAATCCAGAAGAATAGTTCTTTTTCCGCGAAAAGAACCTCCAACAAACTTTCAAACCTCCAACAAAATTTCAAAATAAACATCTGCTAAACATCAATCTGTTAAATGCTCAAAATAAAAGAAAAACAGTAACTAAGCAATGGTATAATGAAATTTAGCTCTTGTTTAGAACAGTCAAACACATTTGCGATCTTGTAATTTAATGTTTGTGATGGATAATCAAAGTAATAATAATAATAAGTACATATAATGAGTACATATAATGAAATAGTATAATGAGTATATATAATGAGTATATTCGGTTCTACATATTCATATGAACAATTATTTTCTATTATGAAATTAAATAAATCACGAATACGCGAACAGTTAACAGACTCACATTTGAATGCAATAATTCGTTTATGTTGTGCCAAAACAATAATACCTGATATATCGTATATAATATCGAAAAACTATGAATCAAATAGTAATTAAATGTTATAAGAATTGTTTATTTAATATTATTGTAAGAAATGTTTATTTAAAATATAGATAGTTATTATTTTATGCTAATTCTGGGTCTGAATTTGTGACACAATATCTTTTGACTTCTTGAACAACTTCTTCAACGAACAGTTCCTGTTATTCCCTCTCCTTCCTTTATTGCGGCCTAACGTTAGTGCGCTCAAATGTTGCCCGCGAACAGTGCCCACTTGTCGACTCCTGGTATAAATTACTCGTCGCTGGTGCAATCGTGGTACTTCAGTCGGCATTGTCCAACAATATCAACGTCAATTCCGTGACTACATTTTCCTGACGATCCATTCGAGGAAAATTCTCATAAATTTGTCATTTAGAAGAAACATTTCGTCACTCGAATCGTAAGTTGATTTGCCAAGAGAACAGCCCTCACAATCTGCTACACTCACTTGCACCGGGAATGATAGGGGGAAAAAGATGCCGAGAATGCATTTGAGAGGAATAAGCATTCAGCAGAGGAAGCAGCTTTGCAACTGCTATAAAATTCTTTAATATGATTAATATATACATTTAGATCTATAAGAAATTAATAAGGATAAAAATCAACTATATCAGAGATTCTTGCAAAGCTACTTTTCTCTGCTGAATGCAATTATTGTTTACGACTAAATTTAAATCCCGTAAACAAATGAAAAGTCGCGGGTCAAATGAATGCTCCGAATTCTTTAAGAGAAAAATTCAATCTTCACTCATGACATAAGCTGTAGATTATCAGACACATTCAAGTTATTAATAGAATGGTAAAAAATTTTACATATATAAAATTACATATAGGAGATATTCAAAGGATGTAGGAAGTGTATAAAAAAGAATCTCTTTTTTTCTTCGAAAATCACTATCATGTTGACGAGCATCTCCCTCTTCTAATTTGAAAGTTTAAAGCGTGCAACTTCAATCTTATCTCAACTTATTTACCACTTATCGCGGTTCTTGTTGCGCCATGCAACCTTATGAATCGCAACTTGTTAGTATCATCGATATATATAATGGAATATGTATGTACTGAGTATGTATGTACATGTTACCGTTAAGAGGACAAAATCACCGATTGATGTTAACAAAAAAGTAAACATAGGGCGCCAATGTAATTTCTCTCACTTCACAACGACCATATTTCTAATGCGATATTCAATCCATTATAAGTACATGTCAATTGTTATCATGTATACCATATGCTACCAGTCTTCATTCACATAAGACATAAATACAACATAAGATGTAGATTATCGGACACATTCAAGTTATTAATAGAATGATAAAAATTGTACATACATGTATAAAGTTATATATATATATATATAAAACTATACTATTATTTCATATATGTACTGTGTAATAAAAAAAATTATTTTTTTCATAAGATTGACATGTTACAAAGAAAATATAGAAAGAAAATATAAGTGCGTCCCGTTTCGCGATATCAAGTTTTTTTATATATATTTGAAATTTAAAGGAGGTCATTTGAACGATTCAAAAATACCTTTTTTCATCATTTTGCTCTGCTCCAATCGCTTTAATTTTATCAGAATTTCAATGCATTTTTGAATTCACATAATCAATTTTATAACACATGATTTTGAAACTATCGCAAAATTTTATCTCACACTGCGGCTGAAATGACCTTTGAGATTCAAATGTGCATTAAAAATATAAATAACTTAATCTTGTGAAACAGAATGTTTTTTATTAATGTTTTAATGTTTTTTATTTTAAACTAGATTTCGTTTCTACTTTCGAATATATCGATTTTTTTCATACAAAAAATTTTTTTCTTATTTTGTCTAGTTTTATATG